GCTGTGTTTTTATAAAGTCACTGGTCCATCTCTGGCAGGGCAAGAATTTGTCCATCACCCTGGCTACAGGTGGAAGCCCAGGCTCCTCTGTAGCAAGGTTTTCAGAGTGGAAAGGGGCTTCCCTTGTAGTGCTGGCAGTGACTCCCCAAACCAGATACAAGACTTCAAGAAGAAGTGTATGGACCGAGTAACCGCGCGCCAGACCTACGCAAGGCCCAACCAGTGTTATCTCAGTTAATCCTCATGACAGCCCATGAATAGGCATCCCCATTTTATAGATGAGGCATCCTGTGGCTAGTTTGTCCATCATAAAATTCACAAATCAATCAAAGTTGATGAAAATCCTAATTTTCTGTCTTTCCAACTCCACCACACTGAATTCTGCCTCTGGTCTAGCCTTAGCTTCCTGTAATTAGTTCTCTTTTAATATCATGTCCCGTGCTTTGTCCTGGTCCTATGAGGGAAGGGGTCAGCAGCAGGAAGCTGTTCTGTAAGGATGGGCTGGGATCCTAGCAAAATATTTCCTCTCAATCATCAAATATGACCTTAGAAGTCGCTGTCTAGGTCATCCCTCACTAAAAAGAGTTTCCCAAAGAATGATGGATTGCCGTCTGCAAGTGCAACAAAGCCCACCTTCTGCTGATTCTCTGTGGAGTGAGATACCACAAAGGGGCAATGCTCAAAGGAAGATAGAGAAATCAGGACTCAGGAGGGCGAACTGGAGAAGTGTCAAAACTGCCACAGCAGGTTGGAAGACAGTCCTTTGATCAAAGGACATGTTTCCCAGCAACCAGGGAGCCCAGAAGGACATTTTGGCTCTGGTCCAGCAGGTGTCTTGTCATCTGCTTGCTCAGGTATGACCTGGAGGCCTTGACTATGCCCTATGCCTGGCCCAAGGGGTACTCATTCTGATAGCAGGGACAGCAGCTCCAACTCATTCAGTCTCTCCTTGGCTGCTGCCTCCCAGCCCTTATTGGCCTGTAGGTTACAGGGATAGGGATCCAGCAGCCCCTCCACCTGGACCTCTGGCATCAGACCTGACAGAGACCTCTGTCAGTCACCCTACTGCCACCACCAGCTGCACCGCCAGCAGCTGCACTTGCCAGAAAAGGGCAGCATCACAGATCCCAAGAAGCTGTTCTCGCTGCTTGCCGGGCAGCTCAGCCGGGGTGAGATTACTCCCACTGGGAGTCAGGAAGAGCAGTAGACACAGACTATGGACAAAGCAGTGATGGAAGAAGACCTCAGGCTGTCCATAGAGGTTCTGGAAAAAGCCGTATTTCTAGAGAATCTGGTACCACTCACTTCTGACTATGGGCACCCCCGTCCTAGCACCAGTTGTATAGGGTGCTCTAGGGGAGGGATCATCACAGCACCCCCCCCCATGCCCAAACAGTCCTGGACCATGCTCACTTCCCCAAAGGGCACCCTGTTTGGGCCATGCCAAACATACATCCCCAGGAAGAGCACTTGTTTGGGGCCCTGGTAGTCATGAGTCACATAGCTGCAATGTGGCTCCCATGCATAATCCATAGGATTGTAGATGAGGCCCACTAGCTCTGAAAACTGTAGTTGGCTCAGTTCAGCCAAATTGAGCTGAAACTCTTCCTCCAAGAAGCCCTCAGCTAAGCTTCAAGGGCAGGGCTGGGGCTCCATCAAGGCACTTATAGCTGATGGAGGAACACCAGTGGGAAAGCCTGGGGCACAGCCACACATTCTCACCAGTCCAGCTCCCCATCTTGCTTCTGGTTCTGAAATCCCCACTTATATTCAGATCTATGGAATGGGAACTTTGAGGAGATGGGGGCAGATTTTTAACAAGTACCCATGTGATTCTATTGATCAGACAAGTCCAGGAAACTCCAAACAAGGGCTTATGGCTTAATCAGTAATTGAGGCGGTCAGAGCATCAGATACCTCTATAAGCTTCTGTTTTCTCACTTATAAAATGGAGATGGTGATAAATTCCTATTGTTATTTGAGTTGCATTCTAGATGAATTGCAGTGAAGTGAATAAAATTGATGATACTGAAAATGATAGAGAAAAGATACAATGGACCTTTCATTGTTTATTTATGCCTTATCTTCTTCGTATGTTTTCTGTAAGCAAAGATTTAATCCTAGATCTATTTTTCTCTGCTTCTCAGTCTTTTCAATCCTCCTCCTTTCCTTTAACCTGTAATTACTCAGGACATACTGATTGTTTTCACTGTTAGAATGATAATGCTATTGCAGAAATACCTAATGACACTTTCAATGCCAAATTGACTGGCTTTGGGATCAGCTATCCATCTTCCTAGTCTTCCTCCATCAGAATAGTCAGTTGAGAGTTGACAATTTAAAAGGAAAAATTGAACTGAATTTAACTGATCTTGAACTTAAAAGGAATTTTACTTTGGTTTTGTTGACTGACTGCTGTGATAACAACATCCCTACAGCCCCGCTCCCGTTTCTAGAACATGCATTAAGAACCAATATTTGTTGTGCTTTTCCTATGTGCCTGGCCCTGTACTAGTGCCTCACTTAGGCACCACAACAGTTCTGGTAGGGAGCTGTTGTTAGCCTACTGAAGGGATAGGCTAAGAGTAACTCATTTCACTTACTGCCTCAGAGCAAAGAATGACAAAACCAGGATTTGAATATAGTTTGGTCTGACTTCAAAGCTTGTCCTTCTCCTACTATTACTTAAAAAAAAATATTTTTTTTAATGTGTACTAGAGGGAGGAAGGATGAGTCCAAATGGAGTTGTTCTCATTTCTTAAGTGAAGAGGGCAGCAGCTGGAACTGAATGAACTTAGTCCCAGGCTTTGCCAATCACCTGCCCCATCTGCTCCTGTTGTTTCTGTTCTACTCGCTCAACAATGCCTGTAGGTTCTGTGGGTTCCTGGCAGCTGATGGAGCAGAAAGGAACTTTGATCTCTTTGCCCTGGGGCTCCTTTTCCCAGGCTCCAGGATGCCTTTGTAAATCTGGTTGTCTGGAGAGAAGCCCTTCCCCACCCTTGCTGTAGGGCCGGGCTGGGTGGCTGCCCATGGGAGACAGCACCGTCAGCATTTGCCTTCTCTTCCCTTTCCCTGCGGTCCTGCTTTCCTGGAGGGATTGCCCCAGGTTCTGGTCCAGATGGAAGAGGAAAGAACCTTGAACTCAGCTGTGGCGACTCATTGCAGAGTCACGGCTTGCGGTGACTGTTTCTTCCTGACAGGAGCTTGTGGCAGGCAAATTCTGGAGATAGAACCAGGCCTGTGGTCCCATCCTCTCCCTGGCTTCCCCTACTCTCCATTCTAGGTCAGAAGGTCAGTGATGGGCAGGGGAGTCAGACTGGGGGTGGGGGTATCCTCCAGTTTTTACTAGTACTTAGCTGGCAACCTTGAGCACATCACTTATGAACCTCAGTTTCTATGTCTGTAACACATGGAAACTAGATGACCCTTAAGAATAGATGACCTGAGGCCCTTTCAGCTATGACCTTCTTGGGACTTCAAAGCCTCCCTCTGATAACCTGCTGCTGCTGTGATAACATCCAAAATGAGAGCTCACAGACGTTGAGCACTTGTGTGTGCCAGACATGTGTCAGGACTTCCTACAAAACAGCTCATGGAATCCTCAGAAGAATACTATGTGCAAGTTCAAAAATGAAGATTCTGGGAGAGGAGCTAAGTTGCTTCAAGTTCGTGCATCTAATGAGTGCTGAGGCTGGGACTTGAATCCAAATCTGCCTGATCCTAAAGCAGATCTTACTCATGACTGTCCTGCAGAGCCTGGGGGACCTCCATAGTGACATCTTCCTGTGGCTGTAGAGGCCCTCAAGGAATAGCAAACACGGTCTCTCCTCAGAACCAAGCAGTGGGGAAGGTGGCCCAGGAAAGCTGCAGGGTCTCAGCACGGAGACCCTCCTTCAGACAGAGAGGTTCTAGACACCCTACCCACCTCCATTCGGGGCCAGCGGACGAACTGTGGAAACAACCAATGGCTGTGACACTCTGCACTTTCTCCACCCCGGGTTCCCTCACCTCCTCACGCTGTACTCTCCATTGGCTCTGGGAACAGTGCTCGTTAGTAAAACACTGTCCCTGGGCCAAGGCCTTGTTCTCTAGCACCTCTGCTGACAAGTCCAGCCCAGGGGAAACCAAATATTTAAAGGTGAACTCACCTGGAGAATAAATCTTGGTTCTAAACCACCAGGCACAGTTGTGCCGTCCCCACTTCCTGGTGATCTGCCTGGGGAGAAGAGGACCCAAATTCCAGCTGCATTTCTGTAGCAGTCTTGCTTTTAATGAGCCTTATGGATGAAAATATTTAGCAAGAGCTCTGTCCAAACGTTGGCGTCTGAATCTTCCTCTGTGCCTTGGTCAGTTCTCTGTCCACACTTGTGGAGAGTTTGCTCACTTCCTGGGAATCATGTAACCCCAGAGTAAGAAAACAGAGGCACTCAGAGGGAAGGGACCTGTGTTCGTGGAATATCCTGATGGGGTCCAGCATTGTCCCAAGCAGTGTGCTAGTAAACGTAGTTTTGTTTAATCCTCACAAGTCAGTATTAGTGGTCTGTATTTTACAGGAGAAACTGAAGTGTCACCTGGAGGGGAAGGAGCTGAGATTTCAACTATTTGACCTTTTTCTACTGATGTGCTTCCATGCAGATCAGAGGCCCTGAAAGGGTCAGGGATGAGTGAAGCCAGCAAGGGCAAGGCTAGATTCAAACTGGGCTTTGAAGGAGGCTAAGGTACTTTCAAATCAGGAATAAGCTTCAGATACAGAGGCAAGTGGCTTGTTCTAAAGGGAGAGTAGCAGGAGTGAGAAAGTACCCAGTGCCTCAAGGAAACTATCTTCACTAAACCAGTTTGATTTTATGACCCCAGCTTTGTTCACAAGCTTGGATGGGAGAAAAAATTATTTTACAAATACTTTAGCTTTCCCTGGAAAAGTTCATTTAAGGGTACCTTATTGTATTACTTAATGCTTGCTATGTATGGGACCATGCAATGTCTTTTTTGAAAAAATGTGTATCAGGGAAATAATTCTAAGAACCTGGGAATTTTTTTTTTCTTCAGGAGATGAGACTTTTATGCCTCTTATGGTTCCCATTTTTGCTTGAATTCCAACATGCTGCCAAGATGCCGCAAGTCAAATTACCAGCCCATTTGTTTTGGGTAGCTGTCTAGTTTAAAAATTGGTTAGGATTTAATGTAGGCCATTCTGTCAAGCTACCTAGTTTGAGATCCCAGCTCTGCCATTTTCTGGCAGTACAACTTTGGGCAAGTTATTTCTTTCCTGGGCCTCAGTTTCCTCATCAGTAAAATGGCACAGTAATGGCACTTACATCATAGGGTCTATGTTAGGATTAAATTAGCTAATGCACATAACATTTTCAAATGTAAAATCACAACTCTTCCCAATCTTTCCTATGCTTGCTTATTTTATTCTGCTTAGCACTTACCAATAAATTTTATTTTGCTTATTATTTGTCTCCTCCTACTTGATGGTAAGTTACTTGAGGGCAGGGGCTTTTATCCTTTATCTTTTCACTTTTACATCCTCAGAGCCTAGAACGATGCCTGATGTACCAAAAGTATCAAATGAATAAATGATTCTAAAGTGCTTGGCAATGCCTGTTCAGTATATTACTTGATATCTTTTAAAGATAATATTTCATATCCATTCTATCATCAGATTATGTCAGTTCTACATTTGAAATATATTCTGAATTTGACCACTGTCTCCATTCCCAACATCCCAGCTCAAGTTCCCTCACCCCTCACTTGGACAGCTGCAGGAGTGACCTAACTGGATTTCTTGACCCCACTCTTGCCACCCTATGGTTAGGGATCTCTAACCTCACTCTGTAGCTATGATGAGCCTCTTATATCAGGTCATACTATGTTCCCCTTCTCAAAAATCCTCCAATGTTTCCCCATGACTCTCAGAATAAAATCAAAGACTTATCATGGCCTGGAAGTTTCTCTCTGAGCCGCACCACCTACCCCTTTGCCCTCATTTGTACTGGCTATTGCTCAGGCCCTTTCAGAACCTTTGTTTGCAATCCTACTTTAATGTTCTCCTTCCATGTGGCTCACTATGGTATAATTTTCAAGTGCAAACTTAAATGTCACCTTTTAGTCTGTAGGTCTACAGTAGTCTCACATATTTTCCTACCCCTGTCCTGGGCATTGAACACAGACTTTTTTGGACACGGTCTCTCTCCCAAGAATGTAAGCTCTGCCAGCTCGGGTGCTTCAGCTAGAACAGTGCAGTCTGACCTAGTAAGTGTTGCTTCTGTCCCTGCAGTGCTGAGGTATTGGTTGCAATGAAGACACTCACACTTTTTCTTCCTGTAACTGGCCAGGTGCTGCAGATCTGCCCCAAGGACATGAGAGCTGACATCTGTGTGCATCTGAACCGTAAGGTGTTCAAGGAGCACCCAGCCTTCCGGCTGGCCAGTGATGGCTGCCTACGGGCACTGGCCATGGAGTTCCAGACAGTGCACTGCGCCCCGGGGGACCTCATCTACCATGCAGGAGAGAGTGTTGACAGCCTCTGCTTTGTGGTCTCCGGCTCCCTGGAGGTGATCCAGGATGATGAGGTGGTGGCCATCCTAGGTAGGTGTTGCCTTTGCTGAACTGACTGACACCTTCTGGACCTGGATTTGGCTTATTTACAGACAGCTAAATGCCACTGCTACTTTCAACCAGAGATTTCCCCACAGGGCAGGGTCAGATGCTGTTGGAGGGCCATCCACTTATCTGTTTGACAGACAAATATAGGTGTTTGAATGCTTTATGCAAAATGCATTTTGTCCTAAAGGGACTTGACTAGTGGGGGAGAAGAAGAAATGGAGACATTTATAGTACAGTGGAATGGGTATCTAACCCAGTATTCAAGTGGGAAGTCTTCCTCTGCCTATACTGAAACCTAAAAATTGTGAATGGCTGGAACACACAGAACAAGAAGGCGCATGGTGAGAGATGAGGCTGAGGAGAGAGCTAAGCATGAGGCAGATCATGGCAGGCTCTAGAAGCCACGTCAAGAGATTTGGATTTTACTCAAGGGAACCAAAGCAGGAGAGGGACACAATCAGATTTGTATTTTAGAAAGATGGCAGTAGATGCCGGTTGGGGCATGGATTGAAGGGGGAAGCCTGAGGCAGGGAGACTTGTTACCTAGGGACAAGTTGATGGTGGCCTGAACTGGGGGTCATGTTGGTATTTGGAATGTTGAACATCCTTGGCTTTTGAGAAATACGTCTCATTGCTTGAGGTAACTACAAAGAACATCTTTACTGGGGGGCATGTATCTCCGAGGCAGGAAGCCATCGTCATAATAATAACCACCATTTAGGGTCGTCAGCTCTGTACTACCTGACATACAGATTCTCATTTAATCCCTGTAGTAATCCTATGAAATGGTTTTATTATCCCCATTTTGTAGATGAGACCAAGAGAGTTTAAAATTAAACAGAGAATGTGAGTGGAATATTAGAGCTGGAAGGAGGAACCTCTAATATTCCAGAGAGAGAGAGAGAGATTTAAGAAATTTCTTCATGGCTAGATGAAGTCCATGAAGCCAGCACCATGAAGTTCTTCTGACTTCAAAGCCTCTTTGATTAATTTGCAAACCATTTTAGTCCTAATGATAATTAGTGGATTGGCCCATGAAGTCGTCAGACTCTGCTAGACACTGTAGATACATTTTATCTTTTGCATATAATTTTTTAGGAAACTGAGGCAGAAATTAAGTTATACTAAAGTTATACTTGAGATTAAAACTACATAGAGACATCACTAGTATTATTATTTTTTTTTTTAGAAAGCCTAAACTTTGTTCTTGCTTCCCTGGAGTACATGATATGCAGCTTCCTTGTTGCTCCCCTGGCCCCAAGCCAACTGGCCGCCTTGATTGCATTTTGCTCAAGTTAAACCAAGGATGATTTATATTCCTTCAGCATATGCTGGCAGATGGTCAGAGGGAGACTGGGATGCAGACTGAGTGGGGATTGAGGCTGAATCTATGTGCTAAGATAAGTGTTCTGGAGTTCATGGTATCTATTGAACTCTGCAAACCAGAGTTACTCTGTCCCTTGAACCCTTATAATAGAGAAGTGAGATTTGACCATGTATTAGGAATAGAACATATGGAGGTAAAAGCCATTGCTTTAATATGTCTGAAGGGAAAGGGCCTTTATCTCTACCTTTAGTACTCATCAGTGTCCTTGATAAAGAGGACTTCACATGGCGTTAGGCATTGGGATGTTTGCCTAGCTAAGAAGAGTAAGTCTCCACCAGAGAGCAGTCCCTTGAATTTGAATTAACCCCTTGTCATAGGGTGATTTTCACCTATCTCCTCACTGATAACATACCATATACTTTTCCAAAGAATGTGACCCTGTGACCAGCACCATCATCCTTACCTACTTATGCTCAGGACATCCTTAATGACACACCCAACAGCTACCTACTAGGAGTTGGTTTGGATACCTAGACTCAGACATGGAGGTATGACAGAGCCAAAGAGGGAGAAGAGAAGCCCCTTCTCATTTTCCCTCAGCCTAGGCTTCTTGTGGGGAAGCAACCAAGGCCTGATTTATTGTTGATTTCCTTGGTCAATCAACTGCTTCTCTAAATCCAGTCCTCTGCCTCGGGCCCTCCTGGGCATACTGCCTGCTCCAGTTAGCAGTGTGGATGGGAGTTCTGAAATAGCTCAGCAGCTTTGGCTTCAAAATGGTTGTTGCCCTTAAGCTTCCCAGACTAGAAAAAGCGTCTCCAATGTGTCCCCAGGAGCCAGGTTGGATCCAAAAAGTAGGTCCAAGTTCAATGTCCTAAATAAACTGTAACATTTCAAAAGGCTTTTATTCTGTAAAAGGACAAGATGAGTCCTTTGAGCCAACCGAACTTCTTGGCCAAGAAACTTAAGATTCCAAGCTGTATGTTCTTCATAAATTTAAAGTTTAGAGTTGTTGTTGTTGTTTTTCTCTAATTAGAATATTTCTTTACTCAATGGACTGAAATCAGTTTGTGTTTGCAAAAGTGTCAAATGGACATTATAACTGCATCTTTATTGTCTGTCGATGCCCTTCAGTTCAATCACAATTTATTGAACACCTGCTGTCTTTCAGGCAGTGTCATAGAGGTGGGTTTGTAGCATCTCTGACAGTAGTGCAGCCTCCAAGGAGTTGGTGTGAGTAGAGGGAGCTGATGTTAGAAAGATAACCGTCACTCTGCGTGATGACCATTGCCGTAGAGAGAATGCAGGTGTGGTAGAGGGCCACTGGAGAGCAGTGAGCAGCTAGTGGGTATCCATTGCTCCAGAGAGGATGGAAAATATCCAGGGAATCCTTAGTTTTCACAAGCAATAAAGGCTTTCGGAGAAAGGCCAGCGCTCATCCATCTCATTCCTTTGCTCTGTAATCTCGTTATCAGCTCACTCATTTACATTCTGCTCATTTGCTTGCTTCTTCCAGCTCTAATATTCTACTCACAGTCTCTGTTTAATTTTAGCACAGACTTCAAGAATGAGAGAAAAAGGGTCAGTACTCATAACTGAGTATATTTAGTATGTGTTAAAAATAAAGTCCTTTCTGATGAAAGTCTTCTATACAGAAGTGTTTTCAAACTTTTGTGACTGCAACCCACCATATGAAATGCATATTATATTGCAGACTACTACACAAGTGTACCCACAATTATACCTAAAACTAGTTTTTCTTGCTATATAAAATGCAGTCTGATGTTTTTTATTAGATTCTATTCTCTTTCATTAAAAAAAAAAATTGACTGTCACAAACCACTAAATTGCTTTCTTGACCTTACTGCAGCCTACGGTTTAAAACATAGTCCCATAAACCTAGACAATATTCCCTGAGGACAGAGTGCAGACCAGAAATCTCTTTTCCCTTCCGTCGTTCTCTCTGCCTTAATTTGTGACATGACATCCTCTTTATTCTCCTTTCGGAATTCTCTGAGAAATCACTTAACCACTTATCAAATTTAAATTCTTAGCTCCTTGAAATAAATTCAAGCTTTTAGCATGTATATTTTATTCACTAGGTTTTTAAAAGTAATTTTCTTATTTTTATAGGTATCAGAATAAAAAGGTATAGGCAACATTTTACCCCTGCCCAAATGGTACTATTAGCATCTGCACGTGAGTCGTGAGTCATTATCTTGGTATTCTTTTTTTTTTTTTTTTTTTTTGCAGTTTTTGGCGGGGGCTGGGTTTGAACCCACCACCTCCAGCATATGGGGCCAGTGCCCTACTCCTTTGAGCCACAGGCGCTGCCTCTATCTTGGTATTCTTCCACTGTGTGACTTACCAGCTAGCATCAGGGCTTGCTGGTGTGTTGAGTATCTCCCTGTGTCTGTGTCTGACAAGCGCAGTATGTATATGATCTTGTTTCACTGTGTGATTTAGTGTCCCTGTAGTAACTTCTGTGAGTTTTGCATTTTAATACTTAATTTATATTTTAATGATGGACTGTTTTGTATCTTGTGTTTTTGGTGTTTTTTTTTTTCTGTCTTTTTTTTTTTTCTTCTCTCTTTCATTCTGTTGGGCAGACAGAAATCTTTTGTCCAGGCTTCATTAAATAGTAAAAAGAGCCCTGGATCTGGAGCATTAACTATAGCTCTGGTTCTACACTCCCCCTTGCAAGAATTGCCACTAACTGCTTAAGAGCTTCTGAGGGCCTCCTACATTTCTATTAAGCCCAGTACTCTGCATCAATTATGTGTTTACTCACCTTTCTCTCTTGTGAGCCCAAGGCCCTTTAATTTCATGTGCCATGGCCCAGTGCTTGGAAGGCAGCAGGGACTGTTGACTGAATGCAATTGAAAGGAAAGCAGAGGCCAGGCTACAAAAGGCCCCACAGACCAGAGTGAGACATTATCTTGCTGGGATGAGTGGTCCAGAGAGAGTTTTATTTTTTTATTTGGTAAGCTGATTGAGGCCGGGTTCAAACCCACCACACTCCCAATGCACGGGGCTGGCGCTCAGCTGCAGAGAGAATTATAGAAAGGGGAGTAACAATAAGATTTGGATCCCACAAAGACAGAGGCATGGAAACTAACAGGGCAGCCTAGGAGGAATAGTGATGCCTTGAGTAATGTAGTGTGAGAAGAGCCAGAGACCAGAGACAGCAGGTCGAGGGAGAAAGGGAGAGCTTATTGGATATGGGAGGTGAGGAGAGGGAATAGTTTCCAGAGGTGACCGGGGAGTCAACAGGGCCAGAGCAGGAGGAGAGAAGAAGATAGGTCTATTTTGTTGAGTTTGCATGTCCTTTTAGAATAGATCCAGGGCTGACTCTCAACTAGAGCAAACTCTTTTCAACTGTGGATGGGCCAGAGCCTATCCAAGGAGGGAAAGTAGCCCTGGGGAAGGTGCATGAGCAGCCCCTGGCTCATGTGGCATAGATCCTACTTGCAGTCCTGTCACTGTTGAATTAGGATTTACTAATATCTTCTCCCTAAAGTATAGGTAAAGGCATAAATGCTTGGTCACAGATGAAATCTTTTTTTTTTTTTTTAATGGAGGACTCTGCCATATATCCCTACTCAAACTCTCATCTTTGGTTCGTTAGCTTCTTGTGTCCATTGATCTTGTTTGGGTA